CCTGCGGCTGACCCCCTTCCCCATCTCTCACCCACCCCGGCGCCGCTGTCCTTTGCCCGTCTATCATCTGATCCTCCCCCCCCAGCCTGTGTTTGAGCCCCCCCCGCCTCGGGCGCTCGGGTCTCTATCCCCTCCCCCAGGGTGTGCGGTCCCCTCCCCAGGCTCTCACCTGATTATCACCCCACTCGCCCCATTCAGGTCGTTTTCTTCACCTGTCACCTGTCCATCGTAGCCCCCCCGCCTCTGTCTGGGTGCTTCCCCCCGTCCCCCTCCCCAGTATTACCGGGGGTCTGGTGTATGTGACCCCCTGCGGGACCCCTGGGTGCTTTCCCCTGTCATTAATTATCACAGCACCCCCTCGGCTTCAGTCCCACCCCCACCCTGGATCCTTTCCCATTCATCTCCAGCCCAGCCTGGGATCGTCTCCCTCCGCCCCTCAGCATTACCCCGGGGGTCCGGTGTGTGTGACGCCCCCTCCCCGGGGGACCCCTGGCTCATTTCCCCATCATTAATTCTCACTGCGCCCCGCAGCTCCAATCCCATCCCCACCCGGGGTCCTTCTCCCCATCCCTAACTGGCCCCCCGGCTGGGGTTTTTGTATGATTTATGTATACATTTTACAACAGCTCCTCGTGTTTGGATATAGCCCCGTCCCCGATCCCCGCCGTTCCCAGGGGGCCCCAGGAAATGCGGTTGTTTTGCGGAGGCAGGGCGTGGGGAGACTCGGACAATAAAACGCCGACGGGCATTTATTGCCTTTTATTTATTTTTTTAATTATTACCTTATTTTTTTCCATTCACACATCCCTTCCCCCGCTCCCCCACCCCGTACCACGAACCTAACGTGGCTGCAGGTCCGTGCAGGGTGGAGGCAGCCGTGGTTATCCCCCCCCTCTCCATCCCCATTCCCGCTCCGCCTTTGCAGCCTTCGGCTCCATCCAGCCCTGACTGCAGCAGGAGGGGGATGGGAGGCTGGCGAGCCTGTCAAATTTCCCTTATTCCCCCCTCCAAAAAAAACCCCTTTCCTGCCATGTCGCTGCATCCCGGTGATCCCTAAGGAGAGCTGACAGCTGATGGGGCTGCGGCGGAGGGAGGGGGATGAACCGCGGTGGGGCTTTGTCCTATTGTGGAGGATGCAGCCCGCGCCGCAGGCAGCCCTGGGGAAAAAAAAACATGGCAGTGCCGCTGCCCGGGAGGTTTGCGGGAGGATTTCTCCCGGTTCCTGCATCCCTGGAGGTCGGGAGATGCCACGGGAGGGCGGATTGCGGGTTACAAATGCGAGGCATTGTTTGGAGAAGGGGGGAAGAAAATCCAATATGGTGGAGAGGTTTTCCTCCTTGTGCAACTGGCCTTTCCTGCTTTTGTTCCCTCCTGTTGGTGGGGAAAGGTGGCTGGACAAAGGGATCTCTTTGGAGTTGGCCCAAGAGGGATTTCCCCCACTTCCCCTGGGGATGGAGATTAAATTGAAATCCTCGGATTTCCTCCCGTGGTTTGGGTGCTGTGATTGATGGGGCTGCTGACACAGGACCCCACCGGAGGCACAGCTGGATTATCATCCCCCTCTTTTGGGTTTGGGGAGAAGGGTAACACACCTGGAATGTGGCACAAAGGAAATGTGTCAGGTGTGGGAGCGTCTGCTGTAGGGGACACTCAACTTTCCCAGTTGCTTTCATTCCTTTCAAGGCTCTTCCTTTGAGGTGGAGAAATGGCTCAGGAGGAAAAAGCTTCTTCCCTTTGATAGGGAAAGCTGAAGTCTGTCCTAAAGCCTGTCCCTGGCTCAGCAAAGCAGGGAAAGGGACTTTTGGGGAGGTGAAATATAATGAGCTTGTAGTGAAGGGGCCTCCAATAGATCGGAGCTCCATTAAAATGTTAATTTATGCTTTAGTGTGAGCGGGGTATCAAGTTGGTGAACGCAGGGCTTAATCTCAAACTGACAAATGCCAGTGTAAATTTGACAAAAGGCCTCTTGTGAAATCACTTTTAAGACAAACTTCTGCTAATGAGCAGCGGTTGAGTTAAAAGGAATAAATTAGGGCCGTATTTTAAGGTGTGCTGACCAAACTCCAGAGCCTGGGAATATGCAGGAGCTCTTATTTTGCTTCTGGTGTGCTGGCTTTGCCTCTGAAATACCAATTAGGGTGGACTTCGTCTTGTCTTGAGCAGCTCATGTAGAAAAGAATGGAAACCAGAGGTGCTGGTGCAGCCATCCTGGAATTCCTGGGATTGGCTCAGCCATTGTGGCTGAGTGGTGTTGGAGCAGAGCTGGATCAGCTGGGCTGAAGGACCCTCCTGCTCTCGGATGAAGCTTGAAGGTTGCTCCTCCAGCTTTGGTACCAGTGCTGGCACAGTCAGGCTTCCTGAGGAGAAGGAGCTGGAAACACATCCAGTTGTTCCTTTCCTTTTCCAAAGGAGCTGTCACGGAGGTTCTGGTGGTGTTTGCAACCACCCTTTCCTTCAAGCTGGGCTGGATTCTGCTGCTGGAGCCCCATCAGGCCCCTGTTGTAACTCTGAGGTTGTGTCTCTGCTGCTGATCTGAAGGGTTTTTTTCTTTTTCCAAAGGGAAAGTTCAGTTGTTGGTTTAAAGAGGAAGAATGAGTTGTTGGAGGCTTTGTAAAAGAGCGCAAAGTCCATTTAAATCGCATCCATTGTAGTGGTCATTCTGGTTGGGTCTGTGGGGCCAGTGAGTGCACGTGTCAATTCCACTGGGATGGATCTGGAAGTGCAACATGAATATTTCAGGTGTTAATCTCTCCCTCAACAGTCATGAAGGACTAAAGGCAGCTTTAGGACTGGGATTACTGGCACTCAAACTATTTCAGCTTTTCCCTTCTGTGTG